ATGATGAGGGAGTGGGAGTTCTTGTGGAGTTGCCAGGTGTTGTGGATGATGCGAGCAAATTCGCTCTGATCATGGGGTTGATTGTGGGTGATGCGGACACCCTGGGCAAAAAAGCCAGGGTAGTTGGCAAAGTGAAGTGTGCTGGGTAAAAATCGACCTTGGCGTAGAATGTTGGCAATGTTGCCGACCGGGCCTGTGTGGCCGGCGTTGATGTGGGCGACTTCCCGGTGGGTTGATGTGGCTCGGGAAACCGCGGGTGGTTCAGGTGTGGTGGCCTTTGTGTTGAGGAAAGGAAGTGAGATGGCGTAGTATTGGAATTGGTCATATTGGCGAGTGGTGTCGTTCCACTTGGCGTGGGTATATTGCCGGAAATCGGTGATCTCCTTGTAGGTGATGTTGCAGTCGGTGAGGAGATTGGCAATGTACTGGTGCTGTGGTCGGTTGGGGGTGTCGAGTTGGTTGGCGTGGAATTCGAACCATTCTACAAGTTGGTCTGCAGGTGAAAAAGTGTGAAAGTTGGGTGGAGGTCGCCAACGGTTGATTGGGCGACGAAGGACTGCTGTGGTGGGATATTGAGAGGGGTCGGTGTTGGTGTGTTCAGTGTTGGGGCGTAAGTCGATGGGTTGTGGTGAGCGGCTGCGGGATGGTGTAAGGCTGTATGTGTAAGTGGATGTTGAGGGTGAACGGCGTCGCCGGGTTGTGCTGTGGTGCTTTGAGTGGCGGTGATGTCGATGCCGGCGGCGGTGGTGGTGGCGTCCTCGGTGGTGATGATCGGACTTGCGCCGGCTCTTGTGGTGGTGGCGGCGACTGCTGTGTGGTGGCTGTGGGGAAGGTGGTGGTGGTGCCGGTGAGGCGGTGCTGTCGGGCTTGTCTGTTGCTGGTATTGAAGGCACAGGAGCTGGTGGTGCTGATGCAATGGATGGTGATTCGGAAGGTTGGGAGCCAGTGGCTGGACGGGTCACGTTTTGGACGGGTATTGAAGGGTCCGTGGCTGTTGTGGTGACGTGTTGGACCAGTGGTGTGGGGTCCGATGGTGCCTGTTGTGGGAGTGAGGGCTGAACTGGTGGTGGGGCGCCGATGGCTTGTGGGGGGGGCGGCGGAGGCAACGGTTGGGGTGGAGGCTGTGTGACTGGGGGAAAGACTGAGTAAGGTTGCCAAACTCCCTGGCGGGTGGCGCATTGTGGGTCTGTGGATGGATGATGGGCAACTGCTGCTTGTTGTGGTGTTGGAAGGGGTTGTGTCTGTGTAGTGGGGGTAGGTTCAGCAGGTGGTGTGGGATGTAGTTGTGGCAAAATGTATGAAGGGGAAGGTGCTGCGGATGGAAACACTGGAGTTGGGTGTGTGGGTTGCGGTGGCAGTTGAGATGGTTGCACAAACGTCCAGGTGGAAGGAGTGCCGTAGGTTAGTGCAGTGGCGGTTGGACTGGGCAAAATAGGTGGTGCTTGAAATGGTTGTGGTTGTGGGTGAGGGTATGCCGATGGTTGTGGCGAGGGAAAGGTGGGTGCAGTTGGCGGCTGTGGCAGCGGCCATGTGGGTTGAGGTTGTGTGGTAGGTAATGGTGGTGGTGTAGCGTGAGCATATGGCCATGGAAAATGCATATCGTAGTCGTCGCTATGGCACGGCGCGGCGCAGCAGCAAGGATGCGGCGGAAAAGTGCCGAGTTGTACTGTCATAATGTTGTTGAAAATCTCATCGCTCGTGTTGACGGGGAGTGTGTTGTAAGGTGGTGCTGGATGTGAGCTTGTTGTCAAGTGTGATCATGCATCTCGAATTAGATTGGAGAACTCCAATGCACAAGCTTGAGTTCTGCTGATAAAAAGTCACGGCATTAATATAAGATGGCAACATGTGGAAAAACAAGCATGAGAGATCCGAAATCTGATGTATTCGAAAGGGACCGTTTTTGGGCCCGGCGGCCATTGTATCGGTTGATTCGGTGAGGGTGTCGGTGACTGCCTGTGAGGGTCCAATGAGTGGTGGTGCTTTGGGGTGGTTGCTTTCCGATGTAAAACCGCGCCCCTGTGACGGGGATCACACTCAGCACCCGAGTGGGACGGCTGAGCGAAACACACTCTGACACTTGTATTCAGTGAACTCAGTTCCCACGCTGGGAAGGAAGGTGACAGAACTGCATGGTGAAGAGTCCGAAAGACTTGTAGGTGTTTCAACAAGTTGTTGGTCAAGTCTGCTGAACGATCGGTCGGCGCGGCTCAGCTGCAAGACAAACGCGGCAAAGGGGAGGTTTTGGGGAGGTATCATGGAACCACCATGACAGCAAACCAAAGGAAGAGTGGAGTCACAGCTTGATAGAACGGCAGGTACGCAGGGCTGATCAGGCCCTGCTTCCCACTCCCGCCCACAGCTTCGTTGCGTGTGGTAGGGCGGAAGTGCCACACGCCCCTGCCTGTAAGGAGTGGTGGTGGAAAACCCTTTGTCCAGGGGTGGACACACACACACAGAGCAAACATGACTGTGTCTTCTCACCGGACAAAAGAAACGAAACAGCAAAGGCTTGTGACAGTAAAGCGCTAGGCTCTGCTAGAATCCACCCCGTCACCCCCGCACTCTTTCAGTGTGCCCAAGCAAAACCTCGTGGAATTAGCATCTCTCCCTTGAGACACTTAGATCTATATTCTATAGCAACCTGCTTTGCACGTCGCGCTCTCGTCACCGGTCCCCACCTTTTCCAAGTTCTCCGATTTCAGCGCCATGGTCAACGCAACGCCTGGCTGGTCCTCCGCCGGTTCAGACTGTTTTGGCCACCACCGAACAAACATTGCTCTACTATGCTCGACTATAAGGGTGTTAGACTACCAAACACCAGGTCAACCAATTCTTTGAATGGTCTCTGAATGGTCAGGGCCCAGGGGATTTCTACCGGGCAAGGCGACCGACCGCTGCCCCCGTGGCCCAATCCGCTTGGTGGGCTGACCCGGAATGACCGACCGCATCGATGAGGTGAGATTCTTCTGGGGCATGTTCCATTGGTCTGATGAGCTCCTTGAGCTCTACTCAGTATATATATATAATCCAGGTGGCTTTCGGTTCTTTGCCGGAAAGAAGAAGAAGAAGAAGAAGCCCTTGAACAAGCTATTGTGTCAGACGGAGAAAGAAAAGCCATCCGACAAAAATTAAGTTTGAACAGGTTTGAAGCTTCTTCCTTCCCCTACTGGAGGAACGTCCGGGGGAAGGGGGTCCTTTGACCAGTTGAGCAAGGTCTCCCACCATCCCAAGTTGAAGCACGAACTAAGCAAAACCAGTCACACTATGAGTTGAACCCGTGGTCGGACAGTCACACTCTCGAGGTTCAACCACACCATGGACTCCCTCCATAGTTGAACAGAACTAGTCACTAGTCACTCCGTTTTTGCCTGCGAAACTGCGCACGACCAAGCCCCCCGGCCGGCAGGAAGACCCGGTACCGCTCGTTCTCCCTCAGGAACTCATCCACAAAGCCATAGCGACCTCCCCCCGCGACAGGTGAGCAGCTCCGGAAAAACGCACTCATTGATGGACTTTGGATCAATGAGCAGCCATAATCCAATGGAGTTGGACAACAACATGTCCCTTTGGGTCAGTTTGGTCGCGTCCCTCTATCAATTGACAGGCCAATAGTAAAGGGCCATCGATATGGTTGGAAATGAGGACCTGACTGGGTTCAGGACACTCAAAGATCCTGAAAACAAAGGAGGAACACAAATCCAGTTTCTTCCCCAAGAAGCTGATCCGTTTGGGCCTTCCAGTTGGTGTTTTTCACCACCAGCAACTCAAGAAGTCAAGCTCGGACCTTCCAACTAAGGACCCAAGATCTTCACCGTCGCACCGGGGTTCTTGGGGGCGGAATATCCACATACGTCACCGTCACCGTCGGAGAAGCGGAGTCGGAGGTCGGAGAAGCGGTCGGAGCATGTGGTCTATCCGACATCCCACGTTCGAGCAGTGTTGGACATGAGAAGACCAATGGCTGCTGAGGTTCAGAAGTTCAGAGGTTCATTTGGCCCACATTCAAAGGGGGGGTCATCTCCCAAGCACAAGCACACCCACCCCAATGGCTCACCTGCGCAACATCAACAGAACAGAACCCTGTAATATGTTGGTCCTCAAAACCGATGCCTGGCCCAGGACTAGCAGCTTTTGAGTTACAAAAACGTAGAGATGTTCATCTCTTGACTGGCTTGGGTAGCTCCTTCTTCGAGACCGTCGTTCCCTCCCGGCGCACCGTTGAGTTCAGGCTTCGACTGCAGCCTCGGCGTGAAAGACCGGAGCAGCTGGCGTGAAACACCTACACTGCTCTCGCTCCTACACGAGCGTATGGCGCATGGGGAGAATGATGGAGGGATTGATTGGTCTGCAAGCATGGGGAAAATGCAAAACGAAGAAACCACGCGTTATGTTTGCTCCCATCGTGGTTTTTTCACGTCCTGCGTTGCCACGTGGCAGCACCACGTTCCGTTCTGCCGGGGCCCATGTGGACTTGCAGCCGAAGTGGCCCGTGCACTTTCACCATGGACTTGCACAGCTTGGGCTTCAGGATACTGAAGTTCTGATCCCTCACGGAGTCAAGCCATGCTCGTACGCCCCGCCCCAGAATGCACACACATGGGGTGGGACAAGTGTTTTTATTCCCTGAAAAACGGCCCTCTGTCGAGATGAAAGCTCATGAATTCAAGTTCTCCGGATGTTTGACAGTCAAACAAGCCCAGCTTATCACGTTTTGGCTTAACAAAATCAACAGTAGACCCTTTGCCATCATCCCATTGTAATGCTGTTCCTCCTCTGCTGCGTGGTCTTTCACAGCTCGTGTGTTTCTTCTCCATACCAGAGTTCTGCCGAAAAAAGTGCTGGTACAGGACAGAGTTGGATGCAAAGTGATATCTTTGTTGTTGGGTTCATAGCTGGTATGCAAGTCAATACCTGGTACACCTGGTTCATACCTGGTATGGTTCATACCTGGCTCATACCTGGTATGCAAGGGTTTCATAATGGTTCATACCTGGTATGCAAGTCAATCAGCTGTTGTCGCATCCAAGACTCAACCAGCGCCCAGCAGAAGGTTAAGCACTTCTTGTTGAAACGCTTTTTCCGCGTCTGTGTGTTGGGTGCATCAGCCGTGAAACCAAAAAACGAAGAGGTGCCTCAGCCTGAAACGCGGGGCTCTTCGACCCTTCAGCCTTGAGGCGAAGTTTTGAAGAGCCAAGATGTCATGCGAAGTGTTCACCAGTTGAGCTGTGACCAATTGTATTCACCAAGATGGTCTATGGGAATGTTATGCTGCAACCGGCGACATGAGTTCTTGACTGCAACTATGTCTTCAGCCTTGGCATCCTACGCCTGGACGCCGATATTGCAACAGTGGAGTTTTGAAATTTGACATCATCACAGGTAGTCACAGGGGGGGTGAGACTACGAGGTGGGAAGAAGGGTGTGGGAGAGGTGACAGAGTGACTTGGTTGGACACCAAGATGGTGGGTTTTTAAGTGAGTGGTTGTCTAGAAGTCGATGATCTCCCTCTCGTAGACGGTGACCTTTCCCCTGCGTACTTTCTTCGGAGCGCTGACAACCTTGGATTTCTGATCCTCTCTCTTAGCGCGTCTCTCGCGCACCAACTGCTGTTTCATTATGTGGTTCTCAAGCTGTTCCATCTCGCTCCTCTCTCTGTTTACCTCCGAAGCTTCCGCGGCTTCTTCCCACGAAGCGAAGTTCTCGGGCGGAGGTACTTGATCGGGAGGTTCAGGTGTGTCTGGAAACTTTCTCTTGTAGGAGGACGATGCACTCTTTGCAGACTTCTTGGCCTCAACCACATTCTTGGTGACATCGGAAGGAACGTTTGGGTCTAGTTATAGTGCCTGGCTCTAGGAAGGCAGCACCGCAAGGTCCATCGTCGAACTTCTTCTCAACAAATCTTTGCGGGGGCGGCTTAGTAGGCAAAAACTCATTGCAGGGAAACTGGTCTAAGACCAAGTTCAAAGCTCTTCTACCACCAACACCTTTCCTTAGCTTCCCCCACCAGTCGCTTCAGTGCCACCAAAGCGCCCAAACCAATCTCGCAGGACACACGAGAGACAAATGACAGGGACAGAGTCGCCTATGCTCTGGTGAAAATTTGTTCGGTGATGGTGTCTTCCCAATGCTCTGTCTCAGGACGACAATCAAAAAAGAAATCTATCCCGGGGATGAGGCTGCGGTACGCCTTCAAACCCGCTTTCCACTTCTCTACTTTGTCAGTGAAAATCACTCGCTCAATGGGGATGCCTTGTTCATAGTAAGACTTGATGACACCTGCTGCTGCACATCCTGGACCTGCGCCAATGTCCAAAATCTCTACTCTTTCCGGCATGAAACCGAGTTCATCTTGGGCGACTTTCCGCAGATCGCAGGTAGCACGTGATCGGCGAATGAAGTGTCTGTGTGTATAACAGTATGCAAAGCCTGGCTCCGCATAGTCTTCCAAATAGCCATTCACTGCCCAGCTACTGTAAGCTTCACTGCGCGTGCCCTCCTTTTGGAATATCTCAGTGATTCTACAGGTCAGACTAAGCAAATCAACCTCGCGAGCCTTCACCTTCTCCAGCTTCATCTTCTTGAGGGGCCGCTTCATCTTCTTGAGGGGCCGCTTCATCTTCTCACCGCTTTGCTCCACACTCTCCTGCAGCGAGTGGTGTGCATGACACGGCTGGTCGGACATTCAAACAACATCCTTGGAGGATGAAAGTCAGGCACGGGCGTGAACAGTTCTACCTCGATCTTCCAAATATGCAAGAATCTAACAGTTGATCCAGAAGGCCAGCCAAAAGGCGGGTATGTATACTGTATAGATATGTTGCGCAGGAAGATTCTGGTAATTATGGGTGGGCATCTGCGCGTGTATGAAGATTGGTTCAAATCCCTTTCCCAGCGGAATGGCAATCATTCTTACTTCGCGTCAAAAAGAATCAGTATCTGTTGCGAAGTCGTTCGTGGACCCATCGCGAAGCATGTTCCTAAAGCACAATAAAGAATATGCATGTTTATAGTTTATAGTTGGCATCTGCTCAAACGGAACCTTCGATAGTAATAGAATCTAGATCCCTTGGCGAGCAAAAAAAGCACATACGTGCGCAGAACCCATCGCAAGTCTGTTTTGATGTCATGTTAGATTATGTTATGGCTTCGCTACACCGGGGTCACCTGCCTTTCCCCTCAGCAGCTTGCTGAAATCTACATCTTTGAGTAAGCAGTCCGCAATGCCGCTATGCTAAGCTCGAGCGGAACAAATGCGTGTCCACAACTCAGGTCGCAATTCTTGATTGCAACATGCCTCACCTTCTGCTGTGGTTCCAGTAGGCTATGTTTGTTCGTATATGGATGTATACCTAGAGCCCATTTGACCTCTGCTTTGATAGGGAAAACAACATGTTTTGGGTGGTGGGTGATCCAACATAGAGGTCATTCAGGCTCTATACAAGTATATGGATCCATGATCCGTTCTGGTCATATGCATCGCTTCTATCGTACCTTCCAAGCCACGTACACGTCGTTATCAAACATGCACCTCCTCCACCCGATAGGGAAGCCCTTATCAGACTCATAACTCATAACTGCAACATCTCGCGCGCAAGTGCACAGGTAACCAAGTGATCTTGCAACATCAGCGGTCCGTGTTCCTTCCCGGTGTGCAACTGGTCACCGCTTCACCACTGGCTTTGCCGAGGTGAGGATTCGACATCGAGGCAAACAACTACTCGTCCGAGGCAATGGATCAGCAAAGAAAAAGCAGGACAGCAGTGGCTCATGGGATTTCATTGGTATGTATCTGCGATTGCCACGAGGGATAGCGTGGCAGTCCGTAAGTAAAAGTCAGCGTGACCGAAACTTGTACACAACTAGCAGTTGCCTACTGTACCTTTAAGCCAAAGGGCTGCAGTGGAAGATATAGAACCAGTTATATAGTAGTTAGTGCATGTTAGTGCTGGAAGGATTAAACAACACCAAAAAGTGCTTTACAAAAGGCCAACCAAAAGACCTTAACATACCTTAACCTTAACTTTAACTCTCAGGCATGGATACAATATTAAGAAATGTACGCCCCGGCCTCAACGCCACGTCACTCTCCACTCCGCCAGTGATGAGGCGGATGACGTAGCGGTCCTGATCCTTCTCGAAACCAATGCAGACACCACACCTGTCACAGGGAACTCGTGGTGTTTCCCACCAAAGACTGTGAGTGAAGGAACTATTTGTCAGCGAACTTTGGAAGGCTCTGAAGACGACAACCTAATTATTCTGAAATTCCTTCATTCCAGTCCATTTCAACATGGAACTGCTCTAAACGTTCTTCGCCCAGAAGAAGTGCAACTCCGGCACTTGTCGTACGCCTCTGTGGCACAGTTTCAGAGTCGGCCCCGTTGAAGATCTTTTTCATACGTTTAGCACGAAAAGTAGAAACTGCTGCTGTACCAGAAATTCAAGAGAACATTGGATGAGCTCATTTCTTGGTGCCGGCCCCCCAAGATCCCATTTGCCCATGTTTCTTGCTTCACCCCTTCCAAGAAAAAACTCCACCATGGAACCCTCCGTGGCTTTCCGGGCTTTCTCCCCGCGCCTGCCGTTCAACTCGGCCTTCTTCTCGAGGTTTTTGATGCGCACCGTTTGCCCCAAGACCGCCTCGCCTCGGAGACGGTGCTTCGACCGGACCCACCGGGGCTTTCTCGCGGTGTTTTCACCGGACAAAAAAGCGCCATGGGAAGGCACCACAGTGCAGAAGAGCAAACCAGACTGAGTTGTCTTCCAAACAGGCTGAGTTTGGGAATCGGTCTCTCCAAGCAGGGTGGCAAAATCCTGGATCGAACCGGCTATGGTGGACCATGGTGGCCTATGGTGGTTGGTGGACATGCAGATTGCTCTCTAACCTTTGGCTGCCATCTAACCCAACGGGCCGACCCTATCGCCTCCAGAGTTACAACAGACTTCACCGTCCGTCCTGAGTGAATCGATACCCGAACTGCACACGCCGCAACCCCCCGCGCTTCTCCTTCTCCCCCTTCTCCTCGCGCCGGACACCCGACGTCCTCGGCCGCACAGGACGACGTCCTCGGCCCGTCTTCGGCCGGCGAAGTCGCTGGCGTTCTTCACGCGATCGGTGTTCGCACCCTTGCTCCGGTTCCAGGAGACCTGCCGAGGGCCAGGCGCTTCGAGCCCGGTTCGGTCCACACACACGCTGCGAGCGAGTGGGACGGACCAGCAGCGGAAGGAACCGGCAGGGCGGAAGGAAAGCGGGTCTCTGGTCTCTTCAGGCGAATGGCCCAAGGTTTGGAAGTGTGTCCAGTTTCGCCGCAAAAGACCCAGAGCCTGGTAGCCACATGTTTCAGTTGGAGAGGCTACATGCAGAGGGGATCCTTTCAAACCAACAGACCAACAGAACTGTTCAGTTTTCTGAACACGTTCTCCTACCAAACTGATGGGAGGCAGTATAAAAGGACTGTTTCTCGCCTGCACACGTGGGGCGACTCGCTCGCTCAGTCGGGCCTCCTTGAAGAAGTCATTGATCAAGGGCTCCAACGTCTCATGCGGCTTGGCGGGATTAAACCTCGCTTCCACTCAGTCAAAGCGCTTGCAGGAGAGAGAGTGATGGGGCTGGGGAGTGAATAGCCTTCATGGATGCATGTCACTTTGGTTTGCAGCAAGGTGACGATTTTTGAACATTCATGGCTTAATTAGTGTTCACTAGGAGTCCAGGCGTGAGCTCAAAGAGCGCCACTTGTTACCCTGGAATGACGGTCTGGTGGGATAAAACATGAGAAAATATGATAAAACTTCCAGTGCAGCGGGAAATGTGTCTGAATTTGGTGACGCGGGTTTACGGGTTTACGCGGGTTTACGCGGGTTTACGCAGGTTTACGGGTTTACGCGGGTTTACGCGGGTTTACGCGGGTTTACGCGGGTTTACGCGGGTTTACAGGTTTGCTGGTTTAGAGATGTTTACGATTTGCAGTGTGTAGTCGTTCTATCATTCTTCAAAAGGCACCAATCACCGGCTGGATTTATATGCAAACATGTGCGCTGATGGCTTGCACTGAGCACCACTTGGTTTGGCACCATGGTGATGCTGAAAATGCGGGTGTCCTTTTTGTATTTTTTGTCCTGAAAATTGTTCAAAAAGGACACCTTTGGGATGTTTGTGATGTCGGCTTTGTCCTTTGCATGTCTAGCATCCCTTGAACAAATTCTTCCAGAAACAGCCTTGAAAAAGGTTGTGCTTGACATGAACCTCTGTGAATCTCGTCAAGACTAGGTGGTAAAACCCTATGCGGTCGTAATGTAGACGCTCCCAAGTGACCTACCTCTCAAGTGATCTACTGCTCTCAAGTAAACCGGTGTAAATCGGTGTGAATTGGTAAACCGGTGTAAATTGGTAAACCGGTGTAAACCGGTGTAAATCGGTAAACCGGTGTAAAAACCGGTGTGAAGCGGTAAACTGGTGTAAACCGGTGTAAATCGGTAAACCGGTGTCGTCAAATACCAGACGCGCGTGATGTCGCAATGAAAACAGTGACTTCCAACCCAACACTGGCAAGTTCGCCCCCGTCATTCTTGAAATATGTGTCACTGTGCTGATCGCGGAACCTGGGTGACAACGGTCTTCCAGGTTCAACTGGAAAACACGTGGAAGCTTCTGAAATCCATCCGACCAGGGTCACCGAAAGACACCAGGAAAAGAAAAAAAACAAACTTGGACGGAGCCGGAGCCACCAGTCCAGCCGCTACCTCAAGGCTGAGCATTTTTGTCAGGGCCCCCCTGCATCCGCACCTGAACACTTTGAGCCTGGAAAGAACTCTGGAGCCTGGCAGGACGACAGCAGCCATGCGCCGAAAAAAAAAAAAAAGGAAAAAAAAAAGTGAGTTCCACTGTGCCGGAAAATCCAATTTGGGCACAATTGTCCAACACGGGGTTGTCACCAAAAACACATGACATGTTCGCGAGACCGGAGCCAAAATCCAGGGTAAAGTTTGCCTACACTGCCTACACGACGGAATCCTTCAGATCGAAAGGTTCACCGTCTTGTGTTGTGTCAAACGAAACCTTCGTAAAATCCCATGGTTGCTCGACAAAAGGTCGAATCCAATCAATCACCTGGTGGACTCACCAGACTGTCTGTGACTGTCTTTGGGGGGTCTCAGAGAGGGTCCCTTTTCTCCCTGATAAAAAGAGAACACAAACACACACACACACACATCTTCCTCGCCCTCCTCGCCTGCGAACCGCCTTTTCGTCCATGCCATCCTCGCTCTGTGTGCAAAGCACGAAGAAGGGAATGCCATGCAAGGCCATCCTGGACGCGAAGACTTGGTCGACTGGTGAAGATCACCATTCTGACCGGTGAGGTGTGTGGTGTTTGTTCAGCTCGGACTGACCTCTGTTTCTGCCCATATTCAAAAGAATCTTTCACAGCGAATACTGACGGACAAACAAAAAAAAGAGAGCATGCCGCATGCCGTAGACCAAGACTACTTTTTGTTCAAGAATGAATAAAAGCGGTTGTCCTTATGATATGATATTGCCGTGGTTTAGTTGGACAGCCCACACGCTCCATGTATATAAAAAAATGAATAAAAGCTGTTGACTCCACATGACTGAAAAAGTAAAAAAACTTCGTCCAACCCCAAAACCAGCTCTCGGCTCGTCTCCGGGCGCCCGCGCGCCACGCACAGCCTGCGCCGCGTCGTCGTGTTCATGACTGCGCCGCAGAACAGCACCAACGCAAGTGGCAAGTGACTCCGATGGTCCAAAACGATCCAAAACTTTGGGAATAGTTTTTTTCTTTATGCTAACGGTTCTTTTTTTTATGCTGGATTTGGGTGGGTTCTTTTTTTTATGCTAACGGTCTTTATTTTTATGCTGATGGTTTTTATTTTTATGCTGAGGGTTTTTATTTTTATGCTAACGAATGTAATTGTCGCGGGGCTTTATTGGAAAATGTAATTGTCGCGGGGCTTTAGTGGAGAATGTAATTGTCGCGGGGCTTAGTGAAGAATGTAATTGTCGCGGGGCTTTATTGGAAGGGCGGCGGCTCATCCGCGCACACACATTTTGTTAGCACTTACGCCTCATCTGCGCACACAGATTTGACTCATGCGCGCACACAGTCCATCGGGGAGACTCAAGTGCGCACACAGGCCCTTTCCCGCATGTTTGCTCACTTACAAGGGTCGTCACGATGGAATGGCCACTTCCTCCTCTAAATTTTACCCCTCCAGTGGCTCACCAAAGGGTGAGTCAACTTGGAATGACCACTTCCGTCTCTAAATTTTACCCCTGCCTTGCCCACAAAAGGGTGAGTCAAGTTGAAATGGCAACATC